TCTTCCTGATTGATAGGACACTTCCTGAACTTAGGACACTTACTGAACCATAGTTTACTCTAGGACACAAGGCCACCAGTCTGAAAGCTAGGCACCCATGTGTGGCCCTCTACCTCCTCCAGGGGACCAGGGCAGCAACTGTCCCTTCACTTCCCTCTCCCATAAGTGCACTAGTCAGAGATAGGTCAGAACCTAGTTGTCCCTCATCTCGCTTCTCTCATGGTGAGCCTGTGGGTGTGGAGTGGTATGACAATGCAGGTGCCAAGGCTTAGGTTTGGTGGAAGGGGCAGGGGCTTGACAGGATGTCCCACATCTGCATCCAGGTGCGAGTCCAGCTTTACCCTGTCTCTCACCTGGTCTTTCACCAGACCCACCTTGGGAATTATAGGACGTGGCTATTCATAAAGTGGAACTCAGTTCCTATTCAGCCCTGGGAACCCCTTGAGAGGGCAAGTGACTTGTATGAATGGATCCAGAGTGTCTTGGTTACTTTCCTCATTGCTGAAACAAAATACCTGACACCCAAAATGAAGGATGGAAAGGTTTATTTAGCTCACAATTTGTAGAGGCTTCAGTCTATACTCAGCTGGCTTCAAGGCAGGGTGGCATGGCAGAGGGGCAACTGCTCATGGTGGGCATAAGACAGCAAAAGCAACAAGAGCAAAAAGGGAGAAGCAAGCCACTTTTCCTTCCTTGTATTGTAGGCAGGCTACCTGCCCTAGGGCAGGTGTAGCATTCACACTGCCAATCATAGCACTAGACAGTGAACCAATCACAAACTAGATTCAACTGCCTCGGAAAAGCCTGCCCCCTGTGACTGCATGAGGCTTTGTGGGGATATGGAGACACAAACCTTAACACAGAGATTCTAGCTTCTTACGCACTCTGTCATCCTCATACTTCAGGCAAACTGTGAAGTGAGTCAGGCCAAACAGACAGAGGTTCTGACCCCTATAAATTTGGCTTTTCTGGCTATTTCTCTGAGCGTCTTTAAACGTCAGTTTCCATTTGAAACATGGACTTACTGATAGTCCATACCTCATATATCATCATGTGCTAATCCATATAAAGCGCTCTGTTCAGTGCCCAGTATAAAGTATGCAGTAGTATCAGCCAGCACATTATTTTACCCAGCTCTCTATAATCCTTAAGGATTAAACCTATCACATGCTCTCAGAGAGATCTCAAATATTCAATCAAATTTAGTCAACTCTCTTCTTCGTACAGGCTTGGCATATCCCAGTATCATCTTGATCTTTGATTTCTGCCATTAGCACTGTTTACCTTGGTGAACATCCTTACATTTCATGCCATCCGAATCTATTAAGTGCTACAGAATGACAGGTGTTGGCCAGTTTCCAAA